GGTTTAGGGGTTTAGGGGTTTAGGGGTTTAGGGTTTAGGGGTTTAGGGTTTAGGGGTTTAGGGTTTAGGGTTTCGGGTTTAGGGTTTAGGGTTTAGGGTTTATGTAGGTCTCCCACTTCTGGGCAAGCTCGATGCCTTTCACAACAAAGCTCCGCCCCCCCCCTCTGTTGGTTTAACATGGAGGTATTTCTTTCCTGGGACCTTATTGCTTTGAATATGACTGCTACTAATTTCATAACATGTTGTATGATTCTTTTTTATATTGATAGGACCTCTGAAAATGAATAGGAATCATTTTTTCATCTTGATAGGAATCCCAGCAATACATCGTCAGGGATTCCCCTATTAATATTGATTGTGATTCCCAGATACTTTCAGAGGATTCTCATGAGAGAGTCTTAGATTCCCGATTCAGATGAATGAGAATCATACTAAATAGTTTGAAACTAATAGGAATGATATTCAAATTAATCGGGTCCCAATAAATGACTACCTCCATGTTGAACCTACAGGGGGGCGGGGAGGGGCTTTGTGGTGGCGGGGGGGGTGGGGGGGGCGGGGGGGGCTTTGTTTTTGGGAGGGGGGGGGGGGGGGGGGGCTTGCTTTACCGTTCGAGCGTGAAACAGAGATCTGTCGCGTTCAGGGTTCGAGGGTTTGGGGTTTAGGGTTTCAGGGTAGGGTTTCAGGTTTAGGGTTGAGGGTTTAGGGGTCTGGAGATTAGGGTTTGGGGTTTGGGGGGTTTAGCTTAGGGTGTGGGGTTTCAGGGGTTTAGGGTCTACGGTGTGGGGTTTGGGTTTCAGAAGTTTGGGGTTTGTGGTTTGTTAGGGTTTAAGGTTTAGGGTTTGGTGTTTCAGGGGTTTTGGGGTTGGGTTTATGGGTGTGGGTTTAGAGTTTTAAGGTTTCGGGTTTAAGGCTTGGGGTCTTATTGATGCGGGGTTCAGGGCGTTTTGGATTCAGAGCTTTGTGGGCTCTAGGGTCTTTGCGGGTTTAGCTCGAGGGGTCGCCACAGGGTTTAGGGGTCTTGAGGGTTGAGGGTTTAGGGTTTAGGGTTTAGGGTTTAGGGTCTGGGGTCTCTGGAGCATGTATTTGAGGCTCTTTGGGACTGGGGGCCCTCAGGTTGGGTTTGGGGGACTTAGGGGTTTTCAAGGAGGATTTCAGGGCCCCTGCAGCCTTAAACCCTAAAACCCCATAGGCATCCCTAAGTAGATAGAACATTTGAAAATCCGAAGATGCAGCCCCCCCCCCCCCTCCCCCTTCCAAAACGCTAGATAGAATGCCAAAAACCACCAAAACGACAGGTAGAATATTGGCCGAAACCCTAAACCCTAAACCCTAAACCCTAAACCCTAAACCCTAAACCCTAAACCCTAAACCCTAAACCCTAAACCCTAAAGTTTTGGGCAAAGAGGCGCCCAACTATATTCTATCTACTTGAAGGTTCATGGTACTTAGTAACCAATTATAGTTGTACTTATAACCCAAATTATGATTCTATTAGGGCACTTAAGGGACTTCTAAGTACAGTTTTAGGTACAGTTATAATTGGTTAATAAGTACCATGAACCTTCAAGTATGGGTTCCCGTGCAGGAGTTGGAGGTGCTCTCTTCGGGGGAGGGCGCAAAGAGGTGTGCGAAAGAGGGCGCCAAAGGGGCGAATGTTCTGTATGGGTGCCTCAAATTCTCGATCTACGGGCTCCAAGATTCTATGTATGGGGTCCCCGAGAACCCAGGGAAAACGCATAAAAAAAACACGAAAAACACAACACCCCCCCGAAACCCCACATTCTAGCTATTCAAGGAAGACGATAAACCGTCAACCCTCAACCTTCAACCCTAAACCCTAAACCCTAAACCCTGAACCCTAAACCCTAAACCCTGAACCCTAAACCCTAAACAAACCCTAAGCCCTCTAAGCCCTAGGCTCCACCATGCTGCGGGGGTTGTTTTGGAAAGCTCGGGTCCGCTTAAAGGCACCTAAACACAAGGGTCCCTTTAGGGTTTAGGGTTTAGGGTTTAGGGTTTAGGGTTAGGGTTTAGGGTTTAGGGTTTAGCAACGCCTCCCCATGTGGGGGGTGGATCTACTATTTTTCATGAAGGTTTTTTGTTCAAGATTGGATTTGGGTGGTTTGAGTTTTGTGTTGACATAGTGTTGAGGAGTTTAGGGTTTTGTGTTTACACAGGGTTCAGGGATTAGGAGTTCAGGGGTCCCTAAGCCCTTAGAGTTTGGGGGGTTCCTTCGGAGCAGTTTGGTCTTCTTAGAAACGCTCCGATTACGCCAGGTCTGGCCGATGCCGGGTGGCCCGGGCTGCAGTTTCGACCGCCCCCCCAAAGCCCCAAAGCCCCAAAGCCCCAAAGCCCCAAAGCCCAAAGCCCCTAAGCCCCGAAAACCCTAAACCCTGCACCCTAAGCCCTAAACCTTAAGCCCGCCGAAGTGCAGGAAGCCCGGAAACCCCCCACACAAGTACCGAGGTGTGCCCGTGACCTTCAACCCCATGTTCCACGCAGAAGCCAAAGCCCAGGGTACGCTGAAGTTCGACTCGGGAACGTCACTTCTCCAGGACACACGCACACACAAGCACCCGCCGTAACTCTTCACTCGCTCGCTCTCGCTCCACTCGCTCTTTGTCGCTCTCTTTCTCTCTCTCTCTCTCTCTCTCTCTCTCTCTCGCTCTATCTCTCTCTCTCTCTCTTTTTTTCGCTCGCTTGCTCTCCTGCCATAAACCGCCTGAACTCTAACCCTAGACCCCATACCCTGAACCCCAAAGCCCTAAACTCTGAACCCTAAACCCCAAACCCCGAAACCCCAAACCCGAAACGTCAAACTCCAAGCCCTGAACCTTAAACCTTCAACCCCAAACCCCAAACCCAGAACCCTGAACCCTAAACCCCGAACCCTCAACCAACAACCCTAAACCCTAAGCCTTAACCCTAAACCCTAAACCCTAAACCCCAGACCCTAAACCCGAAACCCTAAACCCAAAACCCTAAACTCAAGGCTTAGGCCGCCCCCCTACAGTGGGGGGCGGCGCTTTGAGCCCCTCGACCTCGATGGCGCAAGCCGACCCAGGTCGTTCGCCCGCCTCCCACAGCTCGCAGGTTGGTAGCACCCGAGCACGTTTGTACGTCCTTGTGGTCCCTGGACCTGGGACCCTCCTGGGACCCTCCTGCAACCCTCCTGGGACCCTCCTGGGACCCCCTGACAATCCAGACACACCCTGAAACCCTTCTGCCCTCAGACCACAAAGATCCGGCCAAAACTGGCCGATTCCAACGTCCCATGTTGTTTGTGTAAGTAAGCTATTGGCTGGGGTGGCTTGCCGCCTTGGACGGCGTGGGGTGGGAGAAAAAGTGTTAGACGGCCCTCCACAATTGGGCCAGAGCTGCTTTTGGCACTTCATGAAGCTTTCGAGCTTGATCCAAATACCCAATCCTTTTACAGCAAGCCCTCAGCCCCAAACCCCGAACCCTAAACCCTAAACCCAAACCCCAAACGCCAAACCCTAAACGCCAAACCCTGAACCCTAAACCCCAACCCCAGACCCGAAACCCTAAACCCTAAACCCTAAACCCTAAACCCTAAACCCTGTAAGTTTTCACGTTCCGGGTTCCAGGACTCTCAGAAGGCCAAGGCGACCACGGACTCCGATGTGACCTCGGTCTTCACTTCGAACCTTGGAGATTGAGAGGGGGTTTCGGGTTTCGGGTTTCGGGTTTAGGGTTTAGGGTTTAGGGTTGAGGGTTTGGGGTTTAGGGCTGCACTGTTTTTGGTTGTTCAAGGGTTCTGAAGTTTGGGCCCTTGGGTCTTCCCGGGTATATAAGGGGTATGAGAAGCCCTGTGTTACGGGAGCATGAAACTCAGAGTTTTCGGGCTTCATGGCTTTGTTTGGGTTTTAAGGTTTCAGGTTTTTTTGGGTTTTCGGGTTTCGAGGCTCCAAGGTTCCTGTTTAGGCTTTCAGGGTATGGGGCGTGCTTCAGGGTTCAGGGTTAGAAATGGGCCCTTAACCCCTGAAACTCTCCACAAGGAACCTGACCTCCGACGCCACCTCGCCGGTGTTGAGCATGTGCGATGCAGCGGCCAGCAGCTCAGAACCCTGAAGCCCGGAACCCTAAACGTCAACCCTCCCCAGTTTGCGATTAGGGTTTGGGGGTTCTGCGGGAGAGCTTTGCTAGTTTGGCATACTTAAAGCAAGCTAAGTGTTTTTCTGAGGAGGAAGGCTAATCTATCTAAGGTCGAGTTGCATGAAATGTTTCCTAACTATGTAGGCCCACGCCCGAGATTAGTAGTTGAATATGCTCAGTGCCTGATAGAATACGCGGCTGCTACTATACCATTAGTTAGTTAATCTCGGGCTACGTCCCCCACGTTTGCCACGCAAAGCGTGGGTCACCCCCCAGGGGGGCGGGGGGTTGGTGGGTTTATTCTAACCATGCCCAAAACACTGCAGTTCACAGCGCTTTTTGCTTCTCTATACAACATGATGCAACAGGATGTTTGACAATTCTGGAACAAGTCGCGCTGTAGCCTTCTGCGACACAACACTGGACAGTTTCGCATCTTTGCCTTCATGTTAAACATCTACGCAGTACAGGAAGCTGTGCACCAGGTGCATGTGGAATGCACACCAGAGCCTCGGAACGTCTTGTCGACGACAGGCTCGAACAAGGACACACACCGCAGCGAACCCAGGAAAAGTGCGGAGTGTCCCAGCTTTTCAGTTAGCTTTAGATTGACCCTATCTTTGACATGGTAGCGGAGCTGCCGTTCCAGGAACCAGAGGCAGCGATGATGCTACACATAGCAGGAGTAGGAATCGTCCTCATAGCCATGATGGCTTCTCTCGTCTGTGGGATGATACAAATGTGGAAACAGGAAAAGAACGTCGAAGTCCGAGAGTTCTTCGAGTACCTCCCCACAGTCCGGATAGCAACAAGAGCAGGAAGAAGGTACCACAAACCAGGTTGTGGTCACATCAGGAACCTGACGGTTGCTGGTGGAAGAG